TTTCTAAATGGACCCTTAGACGAAGAAGTCTATGTTAAGCAATCAGTTGAATTTGTGAAACATGACGAAGAAAGAAAGGTATACAGGCTGCATAAAGCCCTGTATGGATTGAAACAAGCTCCAAGAGCTTGGAATAAGAAAATTGATAGTTTCCTAAGGGAGAAGGAATTTGTAAAGTGCACAACTGAACATGGAGTATATGTAAGAAGAAGCAAGAGTAAATTGCTTATACTATGTCTCTATGTAGATGATTTGTTGATAAAAGGTAGCTGTAAGAGTGAGATCAAAGACTTCAAAGGTGATCTCAGCAAGGAATTCAAAATGTCTGATTTGGGTGAGATTTCATATTTCCTTGGTATCGAATTCTACAAGAGAAGTAGAGGTTTGATGATGCACCAAAGAAGATATGCAGGAGAAATTCTCAAGAGGTTTGAGATGGAAGAATACAACTCAACTTTGACACCTGCAGAACCAAGACATCAACTGTCGAAAGATGCAGATGAAGATGATGTTGATCCAATCCAATACAGAAAACTTATTGGATCATTGAGATACCTTTGTCTTACAAGGCCTGACTTAGCATACAGTGTAGGTATGGTAAGTAGATTCATGCAAAATCCAAATGTATCACATCTAGCAGCAATGAAGAGGATACTAAGGTATCTCAAAAGAAGTTTCGATTATGGCATTTTGTTTCCTGCAACTGATAAAATAAAAGAATGCAAGTTAGTGGGATACACTGATTCGAGTTGGTGTAGTGTTGCTGAAGATTGAAAGTCAACAGCAGGATATGTGTTTATGTTAGGTGGTGCATCAGTTGCTTGGAATTCAAGAAAGGAACCAGTAGTGACATTATCGTCATGGGAAGCAGAGTACATAGCTGCTTCTCTTTGTGCATGTCAAACAACTTGGATGGTGAACTTGGTTGAAGAGATAACAGGGAAAGATCATGGAGCAATTACCATGAAGATCGACAATATGTCAACTATTAATCTGGAGAAGAACCCAATAGCACATGGTTGAAGTAAGCACATCGAAATGAGGTTCCATTATCTTTGAGAGCAGGTAGCAGATGGAAGGATGAATTTGGAACACTCCAGAATTGAGAATCAGATTGCAGACATCATGATGAAGGGAGTGCAAGTCGAAGTATTCAGAAAGATAAGAGCCATGATGAACATAGATAGTTTAGACACAATGAATTAGGTGGTGTGTTAAATTGTAATTCAGTGTGTTGAAACTATGTGTCAAAAAGATTTGATTTGTTTTATATTTAAATAGATTTGATTTAAGTCAAGAATAAATTAGATTTGACGTAGTAACAAAATAGATATTCTGGGCTTTGGGCTTTGGGTGCAAGCTCAATTATAAATAGAGGGAGTAACCCCTATTTTTTTGTAAGCAAGTCAATTAAGTTGTATTCACAGAATTTGCAGTTGCAAGTGAATAACAAAGTTTTCCACAGTTTGTGGACAGAGAGAAACTCTGCAGAAAATAATTGTCTTCTTTTTTTTCTTGTCTTTCTCATAATTCATTGTCATTGAGGAGAAATTCATCATAAATATTTGGTGGATTTCCAACAGTATCTACATTGAACCATTCTCCTAAAACCAAAATTCAAGACTATAATTAGCTTATGCAAATTTAAAAACCAAATAGACCTAAAGGTTAACCGTGTTAGTGATTTCCTTACCAAATATGATTGGAACTTCCTTGTGGGATTTTGAAAAAGGATATTGAATATTTTTTTTGGAAATAATGAACAAATTGTTTGAAACTAAGACATTAAAATAGAAACCAAATAATGCAAATAAGATAACAGAAAAACTTGCATGGTAGGGTGAGGATAATGAGAATCGAAAATAGATCTAAACCTCACTCTCGTAACTTTCAAGCCACAAAGCCAATGTAACCAACATTATACCACCTCCATCTAACTTTCAGATCTATAACTCCATTGAACGTCACATAAACCGTACCACCAATTTTCCAGCATCACCAACAACCATATCCATTTTCGCTTCAATTTCCACCTTTGTTGCAGACCTTCAAACCAACCTCCAACTTGCACCACCGTATTCACGTTCAATAATCAACAAGATCTATAACTTTCACTCCTCTCTTCTACTCACCATCTTCATCTTCTTCAAACAAATCGAAGAGGAATGAAGAAGTTGTTCTCAAATCCACTACGTGCAAAGTTGAAGCTTGAAGCGTGGAGAAAAGCAACAGCGAAGAAGAAAGGGAGGGAGACTGTAGTAAAAATGTTGAGGTAATGGTGGAAGGTTGCGTTGGTCGAAGAGAGAGAGGAAATTTTAGATAACTTTGTGACTTTTCATTAGCCCCTTTGCATGCATCGAGTCAAGAGACAGATTATGATGGTTCACATGAAAAAATGGATTTCCATTTCTTAATGTGAAGAGATATAAATTTGAAAATGAAATGCATTGAAAGGTTGTTTGGAATTTTTTTTTATAAAATGTCAATAAAAAATATGGATGTGCCACCTGAGATTTAATACCAAATCAATATAAAGAGATTTAGTTGTTAATAAGTCGATTTTACCCTTGCAATTAGTCCAATTAAAACTTTTAATAAAAAATGTTATATTGTAATATATCAGTAATTTAAAGTTTATATATTTATATTAGATGGTATTGTCACTTTCATTTTTCAGGTATTCTCTATCAATTTCTATTTCTTTAACCTATATAAATAAGAATAATTTCATCGATTCTCAATCACACTCCTTCTGATACTTTCATCATCTTTGCATATTTTCCCCTTTCGATTACTCGATTATGTATCAGGCTTCTCTATCATGTTATTGTGGTTAATCTGTTTGTTGTTCTGTAATTTCTTTTGTATCAATCGTCATTGGTTAATTAGTTGTAGTGAATTTCATTTCAATGAGTTTCGAATGAGTTCATTTTCATGTTTAATTGTGTGTGAGAGATATATTTCCATATATGTAGCGGGGTTTGATTTTTTGTAACAGTTTCATTTGTATGTTCATTGCTATTTCTGTTCATAAAGTGAGTAGCAAAATACTGCAATGATTGTTGGTGTATACATTTATTTTTAATTTTAGCCAAAAGCTTATTTTAGGTTATGGTTTGGTTTATAATTGATTAAGATTTTCTGTTATTCTTTGAGAGAGCATAGAAGAGTTGAAGTTGACATCTCTTGTGAGAATCAAAATTAAAGTTCTTATTTTCTGTAAGAGCGAATCTCTTTATAATAAACCGTTTCTTTTCATGAAAATAAATAGTTCAAATTATATATATCATAATCATTATTTAAAAGTAAAAAAATGAAAATAAGAATTTATTAGTAGAAAAAGTAAAAAATAGAAAGAAAGTTAAAATTTTGGATAGTTATAAAATTCAAATAGAATTTATCAATTAAAAAATAATAATTTATTAATAAAAATTTAAATAAAGAGTAAATTTTTATTTTTAATTAATAATTTAAAATACTGATTATAAATAAGAGTAAGGCTCAAGGAGAAATAGTGCATGCCTTTTTTTAATCTAATGTATAATGAATACATTTTTCAATCAATGAAACTTTTTGAATGTGTTTGAGAATTAGAAAGTTTGGTTCTGATGAATTTCACTACAATCCACACCTTTCCCACAAGCCCAAACCAAGGTTTCCTGCAACTAAGAGTCAGTGATCTGTTCATCTGTTGTTTTACAGCAGTATTCCAAGGATGAGTTTGAATGGTTAAGAGATGCAAGTGGTGCTTTTTCTGTTAATTCTTGTTTTGAAGATTTTGGTTTTAGTTCTCATGAAGTGTCGATAGCGAAGAATATGGCGGCTGCTCTAAAGATCTTTGGAATACAAAGGTTCCTTCTCGCGTTTTATTGTTTGCTTCTACTCGAGACCAATTAGTTATAAGAGGAATAATTAATGAGAAGAGGGATATGAGATGTATTTTCTGCTCTACGGATCTGGAAAATTTGGAACACCTCTTTACAAATTGTGTTATGAGTAAAAGAGTGTGGAAGGTGGCATCATCTTGGTTGGATGTCAAAGAAGACTTAAGCATAGAGGAGCTCTCTTGCTTTCTTCTTTCTAGTCAGAAGGTGAAGGATAAGAGGGATCGACATATTATTACGGTCATTTGGATAGCAACATCTTAGAATTTCTGGTTGATGCGAAACGCGATTATCTTTAAAGGCAGTGTATTTAGTTTTGGTCATTGTATGTCATATATTTTTTCTTGTCTTGGAAATGGATGCATATCCAATGTAACCGGCTGAGCAAGAGTTATTATTTTGATTGGTAAACCAAGTCTTTATGTTGTTTTAGGAAGGTAGATTGATCAGTTTTTTGTATACGGGTTCAGTACCCCTTATACTCATTTTATTGGATTGAATAGTTGCTTATTAAATTAAAAAAACATACTCTTTAATATGAACATTATTCATACACAACAGAGGGAGGAAATTTAAGCAGCGCCTATGAAATTTGTAAATGTGTAAAAAATGAAAAGATATTATGGAACATGTAAGTTTTTATTAACTGTTTTTGGAAGAATCATGGCCGGGAAAAGTTGAGGAAACATTAATTTCAACATGAACACTGCCGTTTTGGAGTAAGAGTTTGAAGTGGCTATGTGATGCCTTGAATTTGCAAGAGAAATCCTATCACTGACAATTATGATGCATTACAGAGAGCAATGATCTCAGAAATATACAGAATCTGATATTAGCAACACCTGCAGCTTCGGCACGAACTTTCAACTCTCTCATTAGATGAGTCACCCTCCAATTATTTGACCTTAAATACATGGCCAGAGTTTTTTCTGCATTTCAAAATTCTATTTCTACCTTTTGTTTATTCAGATCTGCTTTGATTATATTAGCTAATTTGGAACATAAATGAAAAAACTAAAGCATAAAACTAAGCATAGTGCCATAGATATTTCAAATAGAATGTAATGCAATTCTAACAAATATTATCAAGCTTCAAAAATATAAGCTAATTTATACTTAAAATCTGAAAGAAAATTTACTATATATTCCACCATTTGGAAGAAAGTTTTCTTTATAGAATAATATCTTGCCATGCGATTTTGCTGCAACACCAATCTCATCAATAGTCCCTCTACTTATATCAAACCAAGCTAATTCGTTGTCTTTCTTTCTGATCAATATATTTCCTTTCTTCCCAATTCCAATTGGCAATTGAAGGCAGGGTAAAGGCCCAACAATAAAGAGTTTAGTCCATGATTCCTTTACACCAAGCTCACCCAAAATTGAAATATGAAATGTATTAGTCTCTTCATAATTTACCATAAAAGCAACAGATCCATTCAATATTGTCAATATTCTCGTCCTAGTCGATTTAAAATCAAAAACATCATCTGCGTAAGAGGGCAAAGCTGTTGTAATGAAAGATTCTTTGCTGAAGTCAAATGACACCAGATGTATACGTTTCTTCGTTTTTTCCCACCAATGAGACACTCCATTCACGTACACTTCTTCACCACATATATATGAGTGAGGAAAATTGTCATGAATTTTCCTCCAAGAGTTTTTGTTCAGGCTATACATCTCCCAGAAGGGGGAAATCTGGTGGTTATTTCTGTGAGGAGAATGAGTGCGCCTAATCATCTTATAGTCATCTTTAACATGATCATAACCAACTTGATATTGATTGGACCAAACATTAGGAAAACAATTAGATTCAGCGGAAATGATCCTGAATTCTGTGGTACTCGGTTTCCATAAGATAAATTTTCGATCACCATCATTGTTATAATATTGGAGAAAAAGAGTGCCATCAAAACTAATTGGACCCAAAATGTGAAAAGAATACCTGTTTCCCCAATCTCCCCAATCTGTCAGAGAAAGCTTTGGCCAATCTAATTTAACTATATTCTCAAATCTCTCACCAGAAAGAGAGTACAATGCATTTTCGCCTTTCAGATGTAGGAGAAGAGATATACCATCATAATAAGAATGATTCTTAGATATAAAATAGTTGCGAAACATAGTCATGAAAATAGGGTTATCAAATAAAAGAGACCATGATTTGCAAACACATTCAAATCGCTTGAAAGATTTGAGAGAAAGTTTGGAGAGAATAGAGAAGACAATATCATCGGGTATATGATTGCTAACCTCAACATTTGAATCAGACAGTGTTATATCCATCTCCACGACGAAATAGCACCGTCGCCGCAAAAGGAACAAGAGAGTGGCGCTGCACACTGCAAGGAAGGTTTCTAATGAAATTTGTTAGGTTTTTGAAATCACCAATTTTTATTTTTTTAATAAATTAAATATATATACAGAAACTACAAATCGAAAAATAATAAAACAAGTGGTAAACTCTCTCTCAATAAATTTAAATTTTATCGCCTAAACTAAATCTAAATGTTGTCTAAATAATTTTCAATGTTTTTTTTTTTGAGTAAATAATTTGTCTCTCATTTATTCCAACCATCTTAAATTCAGATGTACTTTTAAAAAATATGATAAGTTAATTAATATAATAGTTATAATAACATTTAATAGCTATTAAAATAATAACCAACTGTGTTTTTAAAATAATAAAAAACTTAGGTATTTCTTTAAGTATGATTTATGTTTTTTTTTAATAAAAATATGACAACGGTATAATTTTTTCTCACATATATATATAATTTTTTTTATTATTTTTACTCCTTAAAAATATTTAGATGTAATTGTCATATTTTTATTAGAAAAAATATGAATCACACCTATAAAATTATATCTAAGTATTCTTCTTTAAAAAACTATAATATCTATGAATTAAATTTTTTATTTAAAATAACATAAATAAATTACACATATCTTGAATTTTATTAACATGACTATGACATCTCATTAAAAATTTAAAATATGCTAACATCTTTAAATATTTATTAAAATAACACTAACATTCCACTATATTTTATTGCGAGGCAAAAATCGAACTTATATATAACATTTACTTTTTTACATGTCACTAAAAAATTTCCTTGGTTAGAGAAGATTAATGCACATTTTAAAATTATAAGGGTGTCAATATTGTTTTAACACACTACAAAAAAAAATTCTCATTTGCGACGTGAATTTCACGTCACAACTTAAAAAATTACGTCACAATAAATTATTAGCGACATGAAGGATCATGTGGCTGGAGAGAGGGTGACAAGTTGTTTACGACGTGATTTCTATGTCACAAAGTTGTGACGTGAATAAAGTTGCTTTATGTGCCACGTGATTTTCACATCACAAAGTAGTGACGTGAAAATCACGTCACTAAATCAAAACGCGTTTGTGACGTGAAATTCACGTCACTAATATTTTTCTTTTTTTATTTATTTAAATTTAACAACTAAATTTGTTTTTCTTTGTATAATTAATTAAATTATTAATATTAATTAATAAATTCAATATATAATAAATCAAATTAATAACTTTAACATATAATAAATTCAATATATAATATATTCAATATTTAATAAATTCTATATATAATAAATTCGATATATTAAATTTAATATAATAAAATTAATAAACTAAAATTATAAATTTAAGAACTAATTAATTAGTATGGTACACAAATTCAAACGTGAATAAATAAATAAAAATTTAAGTTTACGGGTCATCTTGGTTGGTATAATTGTCAATATCAAAATCATCTTCGCTTTCGTCATCCTCCAGCTCTTGACCACGAAATCAGCCTGCCTCTTTGCCATGACCTCTATTTGTCGTTGTTGGTCTTGCCTCATTGCATCCATTTGGGCCTCTATTGGGCTTTCATTGTCGCCTCACGTTGCGCTGACTCGCGTCTCGCCTCATTTAACGCCAATTGTCTTACCATTTCAAGTTGTTCCAGTGTCAAATTTGGTTGACGTGACCCCTCTTCCCCATCTCTAACTCTTTGAAATAGAGTTCTATCCCCACTTCTCAAGGAGCCCACCAAATTTACACCACAAAAAACAACCGTTAAGGCCTTTTCCGCCAATGACTTGATCCCAAATATAAAAATCCAAATCTGGATGAAGCGGCTCTCCCTCTCCCGGAATATATAGAGGATTATGAATCAGAAAATTTGCGAGCAATGTCTGATAATCCTCCTATACATTCAATAAAAAAATTAAGTTAAATATTTAATAAATTAAATTAAATTAAATTATATTTAAAAAGTTGCAACGTGATTTTCAATGAAACCCCTTCTATGCAAATGACGTGCTACTTCGTCTGGGTCACTAATTATTGGTCTACATCCACATTTAAGAAAGGGACACCTAACTCCGCCTTCGCTTTGACAATATTTCTGAACAAACGTCCACGTGATAAACTCATTAACTCCTTCTATAAAATGGGGGTTTAAGCGCACATCTTCCTGAATACAATCTATCGTACATCCAACTACGATCATACCGATAATATTCCATACTGCAAATTTATACAATCATTATCTTATTATTAACTATAAATAAATATTTAAGTATAGTAACTATAATTAAATTTTATAAACATTTAATAAAAATATTTTTTTAACAAAGATATTACCATAAAATAAATATTTAACTATAGTAACTATAATTAAATTTTATAACTATTTTAAAATTTTATATATATATATATATATATATATATATATATATATATATATATATATATATATATATATATATATATATATATATATATATATATATATATATATATATATATATATATATATATATATATATATATATATATATATATATATATATATATATATATATATATATATATATATATATATATATCATAATTTTTTTAACAAAGATATTATTCTTTAAGAAATATAAAATATTGAATTTTTTTTTTGGAATAACCAGGTATTAAATTTTTTTCCCCGCAAATAACCATGTTTCGGAGAAAATTATGCAAATAACCATGTTTCAGAAAATCCCACAAGAGAGGAGTCAACCCAGTTGGCGCATCCACTCTCCATTTTGCCCTAGACGTCATTCCACTTGGCGCCTCCTCTCTCTTGTAGCCAAGTGAGATGACGCATGCACTTTAAAAATGAGAGGAGGCGCCATCTCACTTGGCTCCTAGGGCAAAATGCAATTTTATAAATAATTCGTCCGTTTCTCCGTCATTCCTCACACTTTCTCGCATTGTTCTCTTATTTTTTTCTCTGTTATTTGCGTCATGACATCGCCCATGATTTTTACCAGAGATGGTTACGTTATTTTTTCCGCCATAAAACATTCGATGAAAATGAAATTCTGACACATTCACTCCATGGAGCGTCTGAAGAGGGAGTTGATGCGATGGCTAGAGGGAGACAACGAGGAGGGGGAATAAATTAGAAGGATCCAACGAAGACAAACAACAGCCTCACTTGCGATAGGAAGACCTAATTTTTGGTTGGAGGAAGTCAAAACAGATAGCGACGTAATATTGATGATGCATGGGTCAGATGAAATTGTTTTAACGGTTGTAATTTCGTAGACGGTTTATCGTGTTTTATTTCTTGTTCGTGCAAGGTTTATTGTAACAAATTCTGTTAATGAAAAACCCTAATGTTTACAACTTAAAAAAGGAAAGATGTTTTGTAATACAATTTTTATGTGGTTGAGCCAGTAGCCCGATTCGAATAATTTTTGCGATTATGTTCGACTTGACAATATAAACCACACTTTCTTTCCAGCTTGTTAAGGGAGTCCATTTCAGTTGTGATGCGTTTACTTTTGAGACGACCCTTTTTATTCCTTCGCATTTGATCACTGTGCCATACTATTTCGCTGTTGTATGCAGGCCAATAATCAGGTTTTGCTACCAAAAGGAAGCTGTTGTTGTATACATTGAGCAAGGTTTCAGATTTGTAAATGGGAGACAAAAGTTGTAGCGCGTCTTGATGAGTATAGGCACACGCAGCAATGACATGAGAGCAAGGCATACGAAAGGCTTGAAACTTGCCACAATCGCACCAACGAGAAGGTAGTATAACCCTATACTCTTGTCTTGGCATTACCCTCGTTGTGGTCGATTGTCTCTTTGACAATGAAGTTGTGGATGTGTCGGTCGTAGCGTATAACCAGATGGGTGTTGGCTTTGGAACTTTCTACCTTAATATACTTCATGCAGCTTTCACTCCATAGTTGTCCAGATTGCAACACAACATTCCATATTTCACCTCTTTTGGCAAACAACGAAGCCATTATAAAATATGTTGATTTAATCAAAGCAGTTACTGAGAGGTTTAGTATGCCTTTGAATACCCTGTTAATGGATTCAATTAGATTTGTTGTCATGTGGCCCCATCTTTGTCCATTGTCGTATGACCTAGTCCATTTTTCTACCGGAATATTATCGATCCACCTACTGGCGTCTGAATTTGACAAACGGATCTCGTTGCGATAATATTTGAACGTAGGTTGTGTCAATGCATATCCCACATTCATAACCGCTTTCCTAAGAGCTTTGTCTTTGATCTCCCTCGTGAAATTTTGGATGATATGTCTAATGCAATAGACATGCGTAGAATGAGGGTCATGCCAACCATTTACAGGATTGTTGTATGCACTTTCAATGGATGCATGTCTATCATAGATCAAACAGAGATCTGGTTGAGGAGCCACGTGTGTTCGGAGATTCTTGAGAAAGAAGCTCCAAACACCACCAGTCTCTCCCTCGACTAGGGAAAAGGCAATTGGGAAAATATTGTTGTTGCCATCTTGTGCATCTGCCATCAGTAGCGTGCCTTTTTATTTCCTATACAACTAAGTCCCATCAATTTGTATAATTGGTTTGCATGACGCAAACCCTGTGATGCAAGGTTGAAAAGACCAAAACACTCGACTGAATATTCCATTTCTGTTGAGTTGACTACCATCTGGGGCGTACGCTGGCAGTGTTTCCAGAATGTAAACAGTACCTGGAGAATAAGTCTGAAGTGCATTCAAGTAGTGAGGAAGTTCTTGGTATGAATCCTCCCAGTTTCCATATACCTTTTCAATCGCCTTGGTCTTTGCTAACCACGCCTTTCGGTAAGACGAAGTATAGTTAAATACCGTAGTGATGTGGGAGATTATGGTTTTCACCTTCAGTGATGGATCGTTGCTGACGAGGAGTAGGATTTCTTGACATATGAGATCATAATTTAGTTTCCGATGATCCTATGATTGAGTAGAACTGAC